ACATGACACGCCATGTTCGTCATGCGGTACAATGCGTTGAAAATGTGATTGTATTACTCAAAGGCTTACAGTCTAGTAAAAGCGACAGTGAATAATGAAAGCGGCATGCATGATGATAACTTTGCCCACCACTTACCAGGCATTTTTGGAACAAAATCCTCTATCGTCTGCTTTTCACGATGGCGTCATGTGCTGATTGCTACTATAATTGGGTAATTCGAGAATTTTTCATCGAATGAATGAATATCGAATAAATTTGAAAAGGAAAAATTTCGAATAAACGAATAGAATAAATTCGGAAAATCAAAAATATCGAATAAATGAATTTCGAATAAATTCGGAAAATCAAAAATATCGAATGAATGAATTTCGAATAAATTCGAAAAGTCAAAAATATCGAATGAATGAATATCGAATATATTCGAACATTGGAAGTCGAATTTCGAATGAATATTCGAATGATTTATCGAATAACTAAAGCAATCACATCTCAAACTTGCCAACATATCTGGCTAGAGCCGATTCAATCATAATCAGCCCGCTAGTATCCTCTATACCAACTCCTAGCTCAAAATTTTCCAAAAATTGCTGAAATCGGTAAAATATAATAGATTTCGGTTTGAATCAGCATCCTCATTTATCTCCTGTACCAACTCCCAAGCTCGTAGCTCGAGATTTTCCAATCGATAAAATTTGTAAAGTAAATCTTTATCAATGATCAGCACTCTCACTTATCCCCTTGACCAACTCTCAGCCCCGCAGCTCAAACTTCCCAAAAATCGATAAAGTCGGTCGGTCGGCATCTAGCCTATACATAAGCAAAAAGTCATATTTTACCCATTATGGACGATCTAAAAAGCAGTCGATATGAATTTTTATGCTGTGCCCAAAAGATTCTTCTTCAGATGGTCTGAAAGAGACTGATGTACACCAGAATTAAATTTATTTCTTATCAGCATCAACAATGTAAGAGCAAAGGGCTTGCTCTACTTTCTACATCAATTAAAATCCTAATATGATTTTTTTACTGTCGCAAGCAGTCGGAAGAATGCGACTCTGCATACAGTTCAAAGGTATAACGGTTGCAAAAGATACATTACCGAGTTTTGCGAGGAAAAAAAAAGCCGACGAAGTGAGCTTGATACTCAGCAGTTGGCTTTGCAACAAAGTCGAATAATCTGAATACGGAGCCATTCGAATATGAATTCGAGTAAACATTCGAATGAAACATTCGAATAAAATCTATTCGAAACCCCGTTTTTTGATTATTCGAGTTTTCGAATAATAATCGAAACCTCGTTTTTTGATTATTCGAGTTTTCGAATAATATTCGAAACCTCGTTTTTTGATTATTCGAGTTTTCGAATTTTATTCGAAACCCTGTTTTTTGATTATTCGAGTTTCGAATATTATTCGAAAATGGAAGAATTCCGAATATCGAATTTCGAATACGAATATATTCGAATGATCGAATTTCTATTCGATTCGGACCCAAGTATAATTGCTACCTAGTCCCACAGTGATAAAGAGCAAGCGATGATCTACTTGTATAAATGTGTGTTGAAGTTGGCGGAGTTCATTGTGAAAGACACTGAAGCTAAGTATGGACATTGCAAAGCTTAGTTCATTTCTGGAACATTCTCTATACCGAATTACTTATCAACATGTATACATTTTTAATATTTATAACTTCTCTTCAATTTAAAGAGCTGATAACGCATTCTCAGAGGCATGATTGATTGCTGTAACTGCGCGGAAATTTCGAAGACGATCAGAATATTTACAGAACTCTGGCCGGATGCTTTTCAACGGGCTGTTGACTTTCAAAAATCTTCAAAGCAGTTTTCAGATGAAGATAAAAGCAATAAAACTGTTTTGTATAATTCCTCTGCAGTGCAAGGTTTCCCAAAAATGTGCACACTGTGTAATTCTTGATTTTTGCCGCTTTTGAGGTAACCTTCTGTAAAGCTGGCTTCAACCTACAAGATAAGGCACCTAGATTAGCTAGCCCTTCAAAAAACATGTATGTCCTAAAAAAGCTTAAAACGCTTATTTCAAATGTGCTATTCATCGCTAGTGCACATCAATTTGAAGAGAGCTATTGACTTTTTCTGTGCAAATTGTGCATACTCATCAAACCACTGCGTCACAGCATCGCCATCTAAGTGCTAATATACTTGCACTAGATCTTTATCGGTAAGAAAAGATTCGATTTTACGTTATTTCGACATCCCGGTGCCAAACGGAAAGCAAAAAGCATTGAGTGGTTCTAAAATGACGCATAGCAGCTAAGAGTAGCTTATTTGGAATCAGCTTTCAAACTGATTCAGATCATGTACATCTCTTTCAAAATGGCGAGCTAGGTTAGCTGCCCTTCCTAATCAGATTTACATGAAAGCGAAACACTGATACTCCTTTGACAGTGTACGATTAAAGCGGGAATTTTGAAAAGGATTTTTAGCTATAAGAAACCGCATTTTCCCAAAGAAGCCAAACAAGCTAAAAACTGTTTGGCTAGGCTAATCAGTCTCGTTGGCTCCAAACATGGAATTCTACTTCACCGTAAAGGTTGTGTTGGCAGCTATACCGTAGCAACTGTTGTTTCCAGTGTTTCTAAAAAAATGGTTGCACCATTTGCAGAGTTTTATTTTTGAACTATCGTGTAATACAACTAGCGTGCGTGAAAGTCCTGCTACGCGAATTTTTGATTATTTCATGGAAATTTCTGGAATAGCCAATTCCACAGTGGCCTTTCATGCTAGAAGTTCACCGCAACCTACATGATGAAGAACAATATAATTTGCTCCATACTGGAAATATACAGATTGGTAACTTTGAAAGCGACAAAACACAACCAAGAGATTTTTGACGTAAAAATCAAACAGTTTATTTGACGATACTGTTGTGTGCAACGCTGCTCGTAATATGAAGAAAAAACCGCGACGACCCGAACTTCACTAAAATCTTGGATGTACCGTACGCAGCTAGTTTCTTTAAGAATCCTTTCAGATTTTCGCATGCGGTAGGAACTCTGAGTGCTGATTACGCAGGCCTAGAGACACACTCTATCCACCGTATCCAAAGGACTACCATATTTTCAAAGATGCGCTTCCTCGAATGGAATGTAACCTTTGATTCAACTGGCTTGGCTTCGGGAAGGTGGGTTTGTGACATAATCAAGGCCGCTCGCGCTTGCGACGCATCTGCGTCTCTCTCGCTCGGGTGCTCTCTGATCACTAACTAGCCTTAATTAGGTCACGGAGCCCCGCCTTTCCAAAGCCAGGCCTATTGAATCAAATGGTACCCTTGAGTTAGGGGGGGGGAGGACTTTTCATACGATCGGGGACTTCGCACCTAGCCTTCGCACCTACTTCACACCTACATCGCACCTCTCCATCCACGTAATGAGTAAGATTCTCCACTACGCCTAGATGAGGGGGGGGGGGGACTTTTCATACGAACGCTCTCCGATCACTTTAACCTTCTAGCGTATACTAGGATGCTGGTAATACGTCCAGTTATCGATTACAATGGACTAAAATGAAACGTTTATGTATTATCAAAAATGCGTAAACTAAAGAATATGTTGACTTTATCTGTTGTGTAAAGCTTATCGGGTTGAAATAGCGTGTCATAGTAAAGATCAGGCCACAGCGAATTCATTTTCGCAAACAAATGGCACAATTGTGGTAATGAATAGTTCGCTTTATCGAGTCGCATGCCCTCTAATGGGTGTAGATATGTCAAGAGGCGCGTTTCCTATTGCCGGATGGGCAGCATATAGCACATATTTAGTGTTTTATGAAGTTCTAGAATAACTTGAAATTTCGAAAGAAATATATTAGGGAATTTAGGGATTGTTCGATCACATCATCTTGAAATCGATTTCAAACAAAATTATTAAAGGTCACCATACAAAAATGCAGTTAACAGCAATTTTGTAAATATTTCTGTCAGTTTCTAGCAAAAGTCGTCAAACTTATCAAGTGGTTATTTCAAACAGCTAGTAAGCCAATGAACTTTGTCCGGCACTTTTTGAATTCTCCCATAGCATGAATTTAAGTTGATGACACCCAGATAAATCGCGCCTCTTGACCGTCTTCCCCCTCCAATATCCCCCCCTATGGGAAGAGTAACACTTCCAGGTCATGCTGAAAGGTCGGAGAGGCATGTGACAGTACTCAAATCAGTTCAAAACGTTTGCAAAAAAGACCGAATTATGTCGACTTGAACACTAAAAAATTCGTAAGTGGAAGGGTAGTGTTATTTTTCACAGCAAAACACTTTTTGAATCCATACAGTATTCAAGTTTTCCAAATTTATCCAAATTCGCGGTACTACAAAAGCTAATCTAGATGTTTTTTTTGTAATGGAGCCAACAGGCCCAAACCTGGCATGATGCCAGTTTTTACTGGATCTTTGCCAAAAGATGATGTGGAGGCATTCGTATGAAAAGTCCCCCTTCCCCCCTCTCTACAGTACACTAGATACGGAGGTGCGAGACTTGACGCTTAGCCGTAGGTGTTCACACCTCGCACCTCGGAATTGCTCATCGTATGAAAAGTCACTCACCCTTGAGTTAGAATTCGTCCCCGCCAAGGCCTGACTCAAACCTCGCGCGATTGCCAAATGCTAACGTTGGAACCTAATGGGTTTTCCTAATCCACTACGCAAACTCGAATGCCAGGCGCATTTCACCGAGAAGCGTCGCATATTTACGAAAAACGAGGATCATTTTTTATACTGTGTGAACGAGTTCATAGAATGAAATTTCTAAATAATACCCGGATATCATATGAACAACTATCGCATAATAACCAAATGTTTGTAATTTACGTTGCGGTAAAACGTTATTGATGCACTATTCAAAATAGTCGAAAACGCCTACGCGTGACGTGTTCCGCGCTTCAACCAATGAAATTCAACTCTTTTATCGCATTCAATCTATTCGCGAAAGTCCGCTAGTATATACTTGCTTGGGCATTAGCATTATCCTAGAAATGTTGCTCCAATATTTCCTCATAGTAAGTTATAATGTCTGATATTTTTTTTAGATAATGACTGCCTTTTCAGATATCTTCAGTCTACTGTGTTGTGATTCATCGTAACTTTCCTGACAGTTGGAACCTCGACGATCACAGTAGTCCTTTGCAAAGAGAAGACTGGAGAAATGCCTTCGAAAGAGGATTCAAGGATTTTTGCAGAGGTCGCGGCGGGGCAGAAAATTTGGTTAGTTTCACATCTCCACAAATCTGACAGCAATTTTGAGCCACCGACGCACCATTGTCTAAACCAATCCACAATGTTTTCAATGTTTTCCGTAGGCAAAAGTGTCTCCGACGACGAACATTTCATTTAGACAAACAGGTTCATCGTCGAATACCTCGAAGATTTACTGAAAGTTGTCATGCGCCTTGCACCGCTAAACTAGTTATCGTGTTTAACGTCGGTTTTTTACCTGTTGAGAAAGTTATTCAGACGTACGAAGTCTCACAGCCACTCTTCAATCTCCTCAAAAGACATGTGGATGGATATTCAAACACAACCGTGTTTCGTGGGTATTACTATCGCGTAGGATTCGGGTGAGTTCCGCAGGCCGCTTGTGTCCTTTTCAAACTTGGTATCAGATGTAACTGAATTTAGGTATAATCCAATCTATTACCTTGATTATTATCCAAATGCGTTTGCGAACTATATCTCCAGACATACACACGAAGACGCAAATTATACCTGCCAGGTAGAGCGAGTTTGTCATCATAGGCAATAAAAAATAGCAGACCGAGAGTTTTACAGATCTTCCGTAATTATACCAGAGTCCAGTGTGACACATTCAGCTGGCCGTTATCACTTTATATTTACTGCATTTTTGCTAAGTAATCCTTACTTTATTTACACACTTTCTCTGCATTATGTTGTTGATTGTCGTAACTTTCTTTTCATATATTATTTTCTTTTTTAGGAAGGTTTATATCGGGTTGCTGCATAAGTTCTGTACATTTGCATTTTTTTAAGTTCAAAATATCATGACTTCTTTTGTTATCATCTTTTTTCAAGAAGCTTAATTTTTCTGGATCAAGCATTTTGGCTATCAGATGGATTTTACCCTTGACGAAAATGGTATTGTAGAAGAACTAGGGCTGCAAAAATTTCATTCTCATCTTTGACTGTCTTTCTTTAACTTTGCAACCTCTCTACTACAAGAATCGCATGCATTTCGTAGCCATCAAAAAATAGAGAGAATTTTAGAGATTTTTCACGGGAAGAAATCTAGAGATTTTCAGAGCAAATAACTTAATTTTTGACAACAAATTCTGTAACCAAAAAATGAAATGAATTAATAAAAGAATGATGCGAATGAAAAAAAATTATACGAAAGTAGATTATTGATTGTAGATTGCATATGTTAAGCTGATACACTCTCATTGTGTGACCATCGTCATTGTGGAAATTTTTTACAAAAATACGTTTTTTTTTAGCGAAAACATATTTTACTTATCTGCGCTCTTGGGTCTGAAATTTTGCTAGAATGAAGATCTAAATTTTAATACGTATCAAAAGCAGCAAGAAAAAGGCTTTTTGATGATACGAACATTTCCGCATTAAACCGGAAATCTCGTAGAAGAGCTGCTTCAAACAAAGTAGAAAAATACAGAACTTATGCAGCAACCTAGTAGAAGATCTTGGTTGAATTCGATGCAGTTTTCCATGCTCTTTAACGCTATACCAGACAAAAGTGCCGCTTCGCTGCACTTTGGTCTGGCCTTGTGTGAAATGGAATAAGTGTTTTGATTATGTATATGTATATGTTATGTATATGTTATGTGGCCAATCATGTGATCTTCATTCGCAAACATTTTTGAGTGCTTCTCATACATAAATTGTGCAATAAGTACGGCATTCTGTGTAAACGAGTTTGATTATGTACTGTTGGTGTTTGCAATAATGATTCGTATGTGAAATCTTCATAGGTAGGACAACCACCAAACTAAGATCTCAAGATAGTTAATATCACCTAAATAAGATCATGGTAAATGAGACGTCATGTATCGCTTCACGACATAATGTAGTCACAAGTAGACAAAAAGACGAAAAAAGTAAAAGGCTGGTCAAAAAATGGCTAAACGGATTATGCTTGATAGTTTCGCTTTGATCCTCAGATTTCGTTGGATTTTGAAAGCAATTGAAAAAATATTGAAAAAAAATTGAGCGGCAAGTTAAGCAAGGCACTTATTGTTGCTAATTAGGTTACAGCACAGATTCCACCACAACGTTTCTGATTCTCGCACCTTGCCTTTTGAGCACTTTCACACCTTCCTTCGTCTGCGCGCGTGATAAAGCAACTAGAGATGTACATGGGAAATCAGTTTTAAGATAAACGCCCACGTTTGTAAGACTTAGCCGTTGTGCTTGGCGAAAGCCAACCATATGAGAAATGGCGGCGCCGCACTCATGAGGGATCACCTTAATCATTGAAATTGTCTGTTTGAGGGATAAGGACAAATTGACCTTTCCGTTCTTCAATAGCTATAAGACCTCCAAGGACGTAACGTTCAAAATGAGTAACTATTATCCGCGTTCCACTGCATAGACCTTTTTTAACGTCCAAATTCCTGAGCAATATCACAATCGCACCTTTCTTCAATCGTAGGATGTGGGGAGGAAGACCTGTGGGCTTCAAACTATTCAAGAATTCCGTGCTATATTCGCTGTACTAGTCGCTCGTAACTTCGTCCACACTCTTACACTCTTTCACTTCACCTGCGAGGCCTCTTCTTTAATGCGATCAACATCAATGTTTGGCGATGCTAGTATGGCATGGTCACAAAGGGCGTCGACGTTGAAAATTTGGTCTCCGAACACTTCTTCGATAAGGTTCCAGTTAGCTTTTGGGAGTTTTATACAGTTTTGCTCATCTTCTTCTGTCTTTCCGTCTCCTACATTGGTGAGGAAATCACATCACGACGCGTCATGGTTTCCCACTCTCATGCTAACCAATAAACTAGGCTTACTGAACGCTCTCCAAAGGTAGTTGTTCTTTAACACGTTTCGGACCGGTGCTGCACATGGTGCAGCACGCTGCTTTGAGGGATCTTTCTGGCGTTTGCAGGAGGTTTCCTTTTAGTCTAGAGTTGTAAATTTAAAGGTCTAACCTCCTACTTTTCAAATAACTCTGTAGAGTTGTGCCGCCGATTTTTGTTTAGGAGATATGAGCACAAATCGAACAACAGTTGCAACGAAGTGCGGCGACGCGAACGACGCGTGCGACGTCGCAACTTTCCTTTGCTTCGATATCAAAGAGAAAAACCGTAGTTTCAATACTGATGTGTGCCGTGTACAACATAGATACTTTTGAATACTATTAAAATCTGAGTTCTTGTTCCTATCTTTCAAGAAAGCACAAAAGTCCCTCTCAAGCGACAAAATTCAAACACTTCGAATTCACTCAGAACTTTGGATATGGAGCTTATCTGACATGCTTATTACAAATGTGGCCCACAGGCTGCGAAATAAGGTCCCTTTGTAGGCTAACGGCTGAAAGTACACTCTTTTTCGCCGCGCGCGATTTCGCGGTCCGAAACGTGTTAAACAAATGTCAATCATGTCCGAATCACTTCGTGCTCCACTACGGGTAACACTTGTCGGAAATGGCCTCGGAGCACAAGTCTTTCCTCCAAAAAAGATTAGTGGTGTTTTCAAATTTATTGGATGTGCTCAAGCAATCCTTCAAATTTCTGGAAATATCAGAGTTGTTTCTTTGCCTGTGCGACATGGGCGCGCCGTATTCAGTCCCTCGGAGCAGCGAGTTCTAATCTTTGATTGAGTTGATCAGCAGTTGCCATCGAATTGTATGAAACCCCTCGTCCCCACCCCTTCCGTTTCACCAGGCAGACTGCACCTAATGCAACTTGTATAGATGAAGAAAAGATATGAGGTTAGCATTCAAAGCTGATTTATCACCACAAGTATTCACTCAACAGGTTCTAGTCTCATTCAGTGAATAAACAACCATTTAGCAACTTGTACTTGTAAGTCTCATTGCTCACAACAGCAAAAAATCTAAGAAGTAGATAGAAGTAAAACAGTACTTGTTCGCTTCTCCTCATTAAATTGGATTTAAAAACGCACCAGATTTTCCTACTCGCCTTCCGCAGAATCGTATTCAACGCGTTTGTGTGCATGCGTCGCAAGGCATTTTGCTAGAGTGATCTGAAAATGAAGGTACATTTTGATAATTTTTCTTCCTTTTGAAGCACTGTTTATAACAGCAATATTCGCGAACGAACAGTCGCTTACAGAGACGACATTGGTCTCTTACACTGTCTGCGCTTCAAAGTTCGTCTGCACTTCAAAGTTCCTTTCACACTCAGTATTGTGCATTAGAATTCTGCTTCAAAGAAATCACGCGAGTAGAATGAATTTCCCCGACGAATTTCCAAGTTTCTCAACTTCCCGTTGGATAGAATGACACGAATGTAAATATTATACTCGACCCTGGTAAGGAATAGACATCAAGAGATGATTTGAGGGAGAATTTTGGGAATAGAAGATTTTTTCGATGCAGGGAGCTCATTTCCTCTAGCTACTACGGTATCCTCCTTTTTCGCTCCGATTAATTTCACCAAAAACAACTCTGTTGTTTGGACAACATCCTTGCACAAATGTGCCGTCTTTATTGAGCGAAATTCGAATCTGTTTTTTTCGTAAACTACAGTTGCAGTGCACCTATCATAAACGTTCTTCGCCTTGAATCTACGCGGTTCTGTGTCCTAAAACTATGCACAATACGGCTTTGATCTGACCTCAATCTGCTAAACAGCTGCGATTTTAGGGCATATTTATAGTATCATAAGTCTTTAGGGTTGTACCGCTCAGCACAGTATAATATTTGATTCGTGCAAAAGTAATGCGCATTTTGCGAGTTGTCAGTTTAACGTGCAACAATTTTCTGGCAAGTTTACAATTTCCATTGCGATGAAAGCCATCAGAGGCAGGAAGTCTTTCGCAATACAGCTCACATCTCCCTACTTTTATATCACCACGGACAAAATAAAGTATGAATTGATACGTAAGTCTTTCCCCTGAAAGCTCGTTTTTAATCAGTCATAACCTCCAAATTTGTCAGTGTAAATGTAAGTAAACTACCTTATAGCCGCAAGTCAATAGTACAAATGAAGATGAAAACGGTCTAGACGAAAAAAGTTTGCAAAAAGAAAAAAAATCAAAAGGCGAAATTGTCGCCTTTTTTACATTTTTGCGTAGTCCTTGAGTCTCAAATTATGGAATTTATTGATTTTCTGCGTACAAAACTGCTGAATATTTCTGCAATATACTGTCAAAAAGGGGTACTATCCTTAGCTTACAGAAGTGAGCGTAGTTTGTCAATTGCTTTCTCCGCTACAAATCCAAGGACCGCAAATGAATGCAACGACTACACACGTTGAGGTGTCGATATTTCGGCTTTGATGAGCTCAGAAAATATGATCAAGTATGCCTAATATAGACAATTTCCATTACATACAGAAGCTAAGTTTTCAAAAAAAATGCCTTCATTCGCGTTCGAATTCGCATCACAAAAGTGAATGCAATGAAACTCTGGTTTCGACAGCGGTAGTGTGAAGCTCTATGAACTTTTAACGAAAAAGGCTAGAAGCCCGCTTTGACCATCATCGATAGAGCATGAAAAGAGCTTCTTGTGTGCTTTTTTCTAAAGAAGCAAGTCTATTGAAAAAAGCTGTCTCGAAATTGAGGCTAGAAAAACGCGCATTA